TTTTCTTTGGATCTTTTTTATTTTTCGTCTAAAAACTGTTCTTCATTATTTTTGTATACATATATAAAATATATAATTATAAAATTATTAATATAATAAATATAATATATATTTTTAACTATTAATTATTAATTATAAATAAATAGGTAGTATTAAATTAATATTAAATTAAATTTAATATTAAAAATAAAAGGCAATATTAATTATGTATAGAATAATTATTATTTTTATTATAAATATAATATAAAATATATATATAAATTTTAATATTATTATTATATATAAATATGATTATAAAATAGTATAATTATTTTTTTTATATTCCTTATTCCTAAAATATAATATTACATTTTTATTATATATAAATATAATTATAAAATAATAATTATTTTTTTTATGATATAAAAATTTTAATTAAAAAATAATTGATCAAACACACACCCCCAATTTAAATCAATTTAGGGACTATCATCGTCTAACTAACCAGCAAAACGAATATTGGAGGGATGTTTCTGAATTTATATGCAAATAATATTAACAATATTTGTATATTAAAGAAGATCTATAGACTAATGGATAGACTTCATTGGATTGTTTGACAACATGCTTAGAACCATCCCCTATCTCCCTTCCTCATCCTCTTTTCGAGAAACACAAACGTAACACGAAATGCTTTTGGATTTGATACGGGACGTTCCTTTAAAAACTTATCCCTTTTTGCTTCTTCTTACTTTTTCTTTGGGACCACCACGTCGTCGATGGAGAGAAGATGGGATTTCGTCGTCTTCTTCATAGAATAAGAGGGTAAAACGGACGGAAGCTTTTAGTAGGATATCCGTTTACACGATAATGTTCGTTTCTTCGTTTCAACGTTTAGTCCAATATGTCAAACAAACGCGTCGTCTTCTTCTTCTTCTTCTTCTTCTTCCATATATTATTTTTTTATTCCCCCCTCCCTTTTTGTACACAATGTCACGATAAAATTGAGAGGAAAAGAATATACACATAAGTATATATATATATGTATGTGTGTATAGTTAGGATAATACTACGTGTATCACAAGAGAGATTGATAGCTTTACGGATGTAACACAAGTATTTGTTATCATAAATAAACAAGTAAAAAAAGAGAACTGTAATATATCGACAGACTTAAAGATACAATTTACAAGGTCCTTTTTTCGAAAAAAAAAAAAAAAACAAACAAAAGAAAAAGGAAGAAAGGTATTATTTTACTGGAGGGATGATATGAATTTCTACTCGATATTTTTTATTTTCTTTTTATTTTTTTATTTTTTATTTTTTAGGGTTTTGTTTCAACTTTTATACGTATTTGTATATGTGTATACGTGTATATATTGAAACTGGATATACGTTTAACAAGTAGAGACGAAAAAAGGGTGGGGGGAGGAGGATACTTATCGACGTTATGTCACTTTACCACTCAACATCCCATTTCGAAACTTTTTTCCACTTTCGTCTCTTATGTTAGTCCCTGTCCCCAACACTTTTCTCTCGTTCTATCTTCTTCAAATCGATCCAACCAACTAACAATTGTATCGGTCGTACGAATTTGTTATTACGAAAAAAAAGGAAATAGAAAAAGACTAAAAAAAAGCATATTCTGAAACACTTACATTAACCATTTGAGTGCTATGGGCGCAAATATGCGTTTGGTAAAAATTACCAGAGTGGTCTATCGACGCATATGCGTGTTTGTTAATATTAATGTAAAATAATGTAATGTTTAGATTAATACTATGACGTCCGGTGGCTCCACGTTGGTGCCATTCGGAAATTATCGCCCAAGATAGTGTTAATTAATTAAATTATATTCAGAAAGAAAAACTTTAATCATTAAATATAATTTATTATCAGGATCTGGTTAATAACAAATTATTTCGTTCCTCCAAAACATTTGAGGTAAAAGTACTCAGCACTCAAAGGGTTAATCGAAACGAAAAAAAAAATTGAACTATTACAATAGAAAGAACGTGGTTTTTCAAAATCAATTTAAAAATAATAATTACAATACATTTAAACAAATATTTACGGTGTGATTTAAATATTTTATCGAAACAGAAATAAAAAGAACCTCAAAAAAAAAAAAACGAGAAATATCTTTTTTCTATTTCTTTTTTTTTTTATTTCTACAGTTTTTACCGCAAAATTTCAAATACCCAATCTCTCCTCCCAGCAAGTTTAGTTGGAATATTTTTTTTTTCACAGAGCAACGAAAATCGTTTACTTCTCGAGCGTTTAAGTGTTTTTATTTTTTTTTTTTTTGTATTTTGTATTTTTTTTTTTCTTGTTTTTCGTTGCCTACCACTACGACGGAATAGAGAAAAAGAGATAGAAAGAAAAGTGGGTGGGAGTAAAGGGAACAAATAGAGATTGTATGTCAAATAGGGGGTTGGGGTGGGAGGAGGAGGAGGTAAAGGGAAATCGATTTGCGTTTTCGGGTGCGTGCAATCGGTCCTTTTGTCAAGAGTCGACCGCATCGTTACGCTTGTCGATCGCGAAACGTTTCGAAAACTGGCTTGTAGAGTCTTGTTCCAAGGATATGGATGAGAGTAGTAGTACACAACCCCATGCTTTTTCATCTACAAAGAGAAAAAAAAACTAGAAAAAAAATAGAAAGAAAGAAAGTGAACGAACGAGAGTGAGAGTGATGATAGAAATCGATAAAATTGGGGAAAATATTTTTAAACAACACAGTGCGAGAACAAACTCGAAGTATACTACTTTTGTTGTTGTTTTTCTTTTAAGTTTTATTTACATTTTTTTTTTTAATTTTTTTCAATCTCTCTATGTAACGTTTCTCTTTATCTATTTCCCTTTTGCATTAGTATCACAAATATTCAGGAAGCTTTTCGAACGCATCACGCGGCTTGCTGGCGTAATCTCTCATTGATTTGAACAACCAACCCCCTATCTCCCCCCTTTGACCCTTCCAACCTCACCACTCCTTCCATCGTACCTTATTTCGTGCGTACGTATATATTTGTACATACGTGCTCTCGCATGTACGTGTTGGTAGTAGTCTGGGGTATACAATGAGCTTTATCTCTCCAAACGATCCAAGCTTTTCGGCAAACTTTGCATCCCATTGACCCCTTTTAGATTCATCGTTCGTGATTTTACGTATTTCTCATCACTTTTCTCTCTTTCTCTGCTTTTGTTATTTTTTTTCTTTTATAATTTTGTTTAGTTTATCTCATGTGTGTGTTTATGTGTGTGTGTGTGTGTGTGTGTGTATCAATTTATTATGTCATTTTTCTAAAAATAAATTTAATATTTTTATTTCACTATTTGGTTTGGATGCGGATTTTGCAACTTTTTCTGTTTTTTTTTTTGGTTTGTTTCATATATGCAGAAGAAAATTACAAACTAGTCGATAAAAATTGTAAAAATAAAATGTATTTATTTCTAATATTTTCTTTTCCCTTGAAAAGTAAAAATAAAATGAATTTCGTAAATATAAAATTCGTATGAAAGTACATTATTTTCAAGAGCGTAAATTGAAATCGGGAATGAAAAGTAACGCAAATCGTAAAATGGATATCGATTCGTTGATATATATATATAGATAAATATATACATTAAATAATATTGAAAATATGAATTGAACAGTTGATGGGTTTTATTATTTCTTTTTTTTTTTTTTTCAAAACGAAATAATATCTCACTCGTTTATTTATCACTTGGAAATCGAGTAGGTGAAAATTTTCATTACCACGCATCACCTCTCATTGATTTTATAATATGTAATCATTATATTTAATTATTCAACTTAATCACAAGCGCGTGATTCAACGATCCGTAATTACGTATATAAATTACTCGTAATAAATACTCGAGATATCTCTTTCCGACATTTTTACAAAGCTTACCTTTCTTTTTTTTTTTTTTTTGTTCTTTTTCAAGCTTTCAATTATTCCATGCATCACGTGTCGACGAGTCGTTCCAGTGATTTATGATATCCATGTGTACGTGTACCACATACATATATATTTACCTGCACATATATTACATACACGTGTATATATCAACGGAGATATAGAATAGGTAAAATGATAGCTGTTCGTTTCGCAAAAGGAATTTCATTCGATTGGATTCGTTCAACGACGGTTATTGCGGCCAGTCGAATTGAAACGACAGCTCGTTAAAGTATTGTTAAATAAAACAAAGGAATGTTTTGATAATTGTTCATACTTATCGTTGCAAAATACAAGACGAGAGAAAGAAAGAGATAGGAAAAAAAATTCCTACTTATTTTATCTATTCTATCAGTAATGAGAAAATTTGTTAAGGTAAATTGATATAGTTTCAATCCACTATACGTAATATTCATTCTTCCTGCTATTCATGCAAAACAGCTTGGACGGTGGTGGTGGTAGTTGTGCTCGATAGTATATCGATAAATCGTCAGGATTAACTTGCCAAAGTTTGTCCTAACATTGTCAAAACGATTTTATTTATTTCCATTTTCACTGACAATTCTTTGTCGCGTTACGTTTTACATCAAAATTTATGGTCGAATCTTCAATAGTATTTTCTAGTTTTCTTTCCTTTACAATTCTTACGTACATTTAAAAAGATAACTTTTATGTATCAACTATTGTAAGAAACTTGCTCGTAAATATATATATATCTATTAATAAAAAAATATATTTATTAATTAAAAGTATATATTAATTAATTATTATTAATATAGATATTGTAATATAAATAATATATTTATTATAATATAAATTAAAATATATATATATACACACATCACCTCACTCTACGTGAATGAATTAAAGTATTATACTGTTTTCTACAAATCATACACGTAACACACTACAATGTAAAATTTAGAACAAAATTAGTATCACGTTTGAAAATTTTGATTAAATTTCATATTTCCAAGAACATTTTGTCTATTCGTTGGATACGTTGTGGAATTATTTATTTGTACTAATTATTTATAATTTTTTTTTTTTTTTTGATTATAGCACGCATTGAGGAAGAAAAAGGTGCGTCTAACGCTCAACTTTTGTGGTCAGCTTGCATGGCATTAGCCAGAGCAGTGAAGATCACGTCTAAAGGTTCATCGTCAAATGAATCAACTATAAGGCCTCTGGAACCGGAAATTAAGGCCATCGCCAAGGCAGCGTGTAAGAAGTTCCATTTTAATTTAAAACTTCTTTCTTTCTCCCTCTCTTTTTCTTCTACAGTCTAATTATTCGGTTCTCATTTTTGCACGTTGGCCACCAACAACGATTTCATTTATATTTTAAACAATGGCCCCCTTTTTTATTATTATTATTATTATTATTATTATTATTATTATTATTACTTCGCTCATCATCTTTTTACATTCTTAATTGAATGAAAAGACAATGATGATTTGCTTTTTTTGTTTTTTAAACGAAAATATTCTTTGATAAGTCGTAAAGCATAGTTTAATTATTTTTTCTTCTCATGATTTTTCCTTTTAAACGTTCGTCTATTTTGTTTTTCTTTTTTTTACCCTTTCATACTTATTCGAAATAAAAGTTTCTTAAAAGTGACTCGACAAAAAAAACAAGAAAAAAAAGGGAGGAGGGATAAAGTTATTAAAATATTGTTTAATACGTTTTAAAATTATACTTTCAGTTTTATACAAATGAACTTCATAAATAATTTACAAATAGAGTATATATATCCCCTGAAGCTTTTTATCCTTAAAGTTTTTCATATCGTACAACGAAATCGTTTAAAATATACGAACAATTTTGATAATTACTTTGATAACGAACTTAACGAACGTATCAGGCTAACTAAGTTTTAAGATAACGTTTTAAACGATATTTCTAATAGAATATTTAGATTTATTTTTTTTCTTTCACATTTTCGTGCCAAGAAGTTAATACTCGCGACCATATTTATTTTAATATATAATATTTAAAAAAAAAAAAAAATAATTTCTATGATTAACACTTTAAAGGCCGCTCACACAACATGTGTGTGATAGCTGGAACACATTGGCCATTATTTTATTTATAACTTTATATATATTTTAAATTATATTAGGAGTACAAATAAGTTTCCGCCGTTTTGAGAGAGATGGCATGGCACGAGGCTTATGTTAGAATTCGCAGAGGATAGCTGGTTTGAAAGTTAGGTTGCTCATTCAAGAGCAACATAACCCTATCATATTATTAACTTCGTATTAGTATCATATATTTTTTTTATCCAAAAATGTCTAAATTTGAGCCAAATAAGCGTCATTTGCGGGAACTTTTAATTTACTTCTTTAATTTAAAAAAATCTGCAGCTGAGGTACATCGATTGCTCGTAGAAGCATATAATGAGGCTGCCTTTAGTGAGAAAATATGTCGTGAGTGGTTTCAAAAGTTTAAAAACTGTGATTTTGACGTAAAAGACAAAGATCGGAGTGGAAGGGCAAAAATTTAAGAGGATGCAGAATTGGAGGAATTATTGGAGGAAGATTCGTCTTAAACATAAAAGGAACTTGCACTTACTTTAGAAGACACTCAGCAAGCAGTCTCACATCGCTTAAAATCGTTAAGGAATGATTCATAAACAAGGTAATTGGGTTTCATACGAATTAAAGCCGAGAGATGTTGAACGCCGATTATGCATAAGTGAAATGCTGCTAGCTAGGCACAAAAAAAAGGTTTTTTACATCGAATCGTCACTGGTGATGAAAAGTGGATACATTATGATAATCCAAAAAGAAGAAAATCATGGGGACTACCTGGCCACGCGTCAACATCCACAGCAAAACCGAATATTCATAGAAAAAAACTCATGCCGTGTATTTGGTGGGATCAGCTGGGTGTGGTGTATTACGAGTTGCTTAATCCAAACGAAACAATCACTAGAACTTTCTGCCGAACACAATTGATGAGATTGAGACAAAATTATTCTTCTACATGATAATGCTCGTCCGCATGTAGCGGTTCCGGTGAAAAACTATTTGAAAACACTTGATTGGGAAGTACTACCCCACCTGCCGTATTCACCAGACATGGCGCCGTCCGACTATCATTTGTTCCGGTCAATGGCACATGCTCTTTCGGAGCGGCGGTTCACATCATATGAAGATACCAAAAATTGGGCTGATTCGTGGATAGCCTCAAAAGATAAGGAGTTCTTCAGACATGGAATCCGAACGCTGCCTGAAAGATGGGAAAAAGTAGTTGCTAATGATGGACAATACTTCGATTAAATTTAAACTACCGTTCTTTCACAATAAATATTATTTTTTTGACAAAAAACGGCGGAAACTTATTTGTACTTCTAATATATAAAATTAAATTTCTTGTCAAATTGTTGTATTTTGTTTTATGTTAATTTATTCGTGAATAACAATAAATTTTTTTTAAAATTAATTCTTGAAAAATATTATTCGGTCCTTTGGCGACGTTTGACTGCGTACACATGCGGCCATTAAAGTGTTAAAAAAAAAAAGGATTTTTTTCTTATGAAAAAAAAGATGCTTGATAGAATGCAAGATGAAAGAATTTAACGTAGAAATTGATCAAGGATGAAAACTAAATAAAAACAGAGAGAGAGAGAGAGAGAGAAAGAGAGAAAGAGAACAATTTCATTAAAAACTTATAAAACCCTTTTGATTTAACACAGTCATTTTTGCTTAGTTACTTGCTTGGTGTTATTTTCAACGAAACGTTATGTATAAAAATAAATCTTGTCTCTCGTTGTATCGTTAATGTCCAACTGGGGTAGCTTCTTCCTAGTGTAAAAGAATTACGAGCTTCGCTTTAGGTATTTTCTATCCTTTTTTTTTCTGTTTTTTTACCATGGATCTTACCCCTCGTTTAATTGACTTTTTTCTAACTTTTGTCTTACATTTTTTATTATACTTTTTATTTGTTTTCTTTTTCTCCTATTTTTCTATCGGTAATTCTTGTTGCAGGTCACGTTGATCGTGTTACGTTTGAATTTTTATTTCTGATTTTGAATTTTTCTTTATTCTTTTATTTTTTCTCAATGAAAATGGAAACGTGAAACGTGCGTTCGCATTAATATCTAAGGTTTAACCCCATTTTCATGTCGTTCCTTCATACGTTTACGATCAGCATCGAGAAAGTATAATGGAAAAAACGATTACGATTTATAATACCCATAGAAAATCGTTCAAATCTTTTTAAACGTTCTTTTTATTTCTCCGTTATGGTTTATAGAATATGTCAGTAAAAAAGCTTAAAGTGGGGATTGGCTATATGGGGTCGTATTCATTTTATTATAGTCTATTCGCGTTCTTCTAATCGTAAAATGTTTCGATCTATATATGTTTAGAAATTAATATTTGATATATTAATAAAAATAATAATATAATGAATTGGTTAAAAATTTTCTTCATATTTGAAAAAAGTAAAGGTGAAACAAGGTTTTTTTAAATATATTTATTTTGTATTTTTAATTTGTTTTATAATAATTCCAAACTGTTTTATTTTCGACTTTTATTATATAATAGATTGTAGTATATTTTATTATACATATATATTTATTATTTATTAGTTATTTATATTAGTTCTTTTTTACATTTTATACAAATCACAAATTTTTGAGAATTTTCAAAAGATAAGGTGTGAAATAGCGAAATCACGATATTCAGAATTCATGAAATGAAACAAAATTGCAACGTTTTATTTGAAGTGGTACTTGACGTACTTCAAAGAATAAAATTTAATTGCTACGTTTTATGTTAAGAGGAGAGGGGTTCTTTATATACTTCAAACAATGTAACCTAAGCTGTTTCCTCTCTCTATTTTTTTCTTTATCTGTTTTTTTCTTATTCTTTTTTATTTTATTTTATTTTATTTTATTTTATTTTATTTTATTTTATTTTATTTTATTTTATTTTATTTTATTNATTTTATTTTATTTTATTTTATTTTATTTTATTTTATTTTATTTTATTTTATTTTATTTTATTTTATTTTATTTTATTTTTTTTTATTTTATTTTATTTTTTTTATTTTATTTTATTTGAACAATTTTAACACATTTCTGAAACAAATGTAATAGAATCCACTTGTATATATATATAGATCGATACTCGAATTACCAATTACCTGTTTGAGTTAAATTTTGTTTTGTAGCGAAGGAAGATCCATTGGTTCGTGCTGCAATCGCAGGTATTCCCGAGGAAGCTGCAAAGAGAGGTGTTTATCCGGAAGATACTCTTCGTAAGAAGTTCCTCGATGTGAGTTTTATTTCAACTTTTCTTACTAAAAAGTCATAAACTTCACATTCTTTTTTTTCTTTTTTATTTATTTTCTTTTTTTACGTTCTTTATTTATCGTACCAACAAAATCGATCGTGTTTTATTCTTTTTAAACGGTAAAAAATCTTTATTAGAATTATATTGAGAAAACTTCTTTTCCTTAGTCTCTATGATTTTGAAAAGGTCATGAAAAGTTTGAAAAAGGTTATTGAAAATTTTTGATCCTCTGAAAAAAAAAAAGTTAGTTAAAAGATGTGAAAAGGTCATAGAAAATTTGGAAAAAGTAAAAGTCAGAAAATAGCGGGGGTGGAATATGTAATAGGTAAATCGAAAAAGGTTATTGAAAATGTTAACGATTATGTCATTGATTAAATGTACCTTTTTTTCTAATTATACTGTATTGAAATTTGATATTAAACCTTTCCGGACGCATGTCTACTCTCACTCACCACATAAGAAAAACTGTGCTAATCGTATATATATGCAATATATAAATAAATAAAATATATATTTTATATGTATTTTTACATAATATACATTTTACGTAATATTTATTTCACATTTTTATTTATTTACATTTATTTTAATTTACATTTTTATTATGTATATATATATATATATATAATATAATAATATAATATAAATTAAAAAAAAAAAAAAAAAATTCCGACCACTACGACACCCATGTCCAAATTGAATACGTCCGAAAAGGGTTAATAACTAAAGATAATTTCAGGTATTTTCTAATACTTGATTATAAAAAAAGAATTTCAATTTATAATCATTAGAAAACAATTTTCTTCGGTTTAACTATTAATCATAATATTATATATAAAATTTATTGAATGTTCAATTAAACTAATCTATGACCGTTCGATGACCTATCACCACCACCATCATCACCACATGATCAACTTATATCATCATCTGTCGTAAATGTCCTTTACCAAGAAGAATCTTTCACGAATTCTCAGTCGTAATCTCATTAGTGCAATTAATAGTCGATTACGTTAAAAGGTAAGAGCACTTAACGACTTTGTCTGTGGTATTCTTGTAGTTCAACGTCGTTAATATCGATCCTATCGATCTCAAGTAAACGCTATAATAGAAGATAATTTAAGTTCTTTGTTATGTTGTTTTTGTTTAACGATACGTGTAACGTTTATACTAAGAAAAGAAAGATTTTTTTTTTTTTTTCATTTTCTTTTTCATTTTCTTTTATTTTACAATACAAAGTCTTGTTAACAAGAAGGAGGGCACACGTGCGAGAAAAAGGATGAATATGAAAAGGGGTTGAAAGAAAAAGAAAAAGAAACAAAAGGAAACTCGCCAAGGGGGTTGGAAAAGAAGAAAAAAGAGAAGAAAGGAAAAAAAGCAAATGTTAAAAAAATTCTTTCCTCTTTGAGAAATTTGATTTTCTTTTTTTTAGATTGAGAAACAAGCTAGAAGATTAGCCTTGGTACCGGAAGAAGGTGCAGCATTACCAATTCACCTACTCAGTTATCTTCAAAGTGCTTTGATCATCAACACAAGTATTCCCAAAAATGAAATCGAAGATGGTCTCATTGACGTTGATTCTCTCAACACTTACGACATACTTCAACGTGCAAGGTAAGTCATCGTATCATCCTTATCGTTAATTAAAAAAAAAAATAAAAACAGAATTAGAAACAAAGCTAAAAAAAAAAAGAGAGAGGGAGAATATTCTGACATATATTATTATTATTATTTTTGAACTTTTTTAACCCTTTTACTGCCACACCGAGATCATATGTTTTATTCAAGATGCCACGGCATTATTTTTATTATTAAAGAATACAATGGCAAAATAATAATAAATTGATCTTAATAAAAAATTGTAATCGTTCAATAGGGTATTTTTTATTTCAAAGTATCTTCTATATATCGGTCATATTTAAATACACTAACTTTCAATTTTTATTTAATTTTTTACAATTGTAAAAGGTTCATACGGTTCATACGGTTCATACGGTCATATATGACCAACATGGCAGTTAAAGTGTTAAGAAATTTTTTACAAGTTATTGTATCATTTGATAAGTCAAAAATTTTTATTATATATAATTAGTATATTTTTTGTTATACATAAATATATAAACTTTTTTAAGATAGGAGTCATTTGATTCATTGTGGTAAAAATAGTTATACATGAATATTACGTATGTTTAGTGTTAACGATTATTTAACATTCCTGGTCACGTTCAATACCGTTTGCTAAATTCGTCTTTTAACTATTGAAAGACGTACATATGTATATATATATAGAAAGAAAGAAAGAGAGAGAGAGAGAGAGAGAGAGAGAGAGAGAGAGAGAGAGAGAGTGTAAGTAGAGAGGATCTAAAAATTTTGTTTGAAATCCGAGAGAGAAAGAGAATATTTTATTAGTCACGTACGTTAAAATCCGTAGAGTGGTTGTTACCGGTTGGTGACTTGACGTGATCTTTGTTCGATGTTACTCGGCCACTTGGACACGTAATTTGTAAGTGGATGATGTATAAATTCCGTGTTGAGTTTTTACAAATTTAGATGATACGATTTTTTTTACCTTTCGTTTGTCGGTAGACACCAACAAAGAAGATGAATTAAAATAGAAAAGAAATTAGGACACAAACAAAGTAAAAAAAAAAAAGAAAAATAACCTCTTCTTGAAATTATACATCGAAAAGTTGAAATTTTCTGATCCAAATTCTGTTTCCTTATCACTATTCGATCTTTCTTTCTATTTTTAGGTATTGGCTAGATCGAGGAGACTTCAAGATGACATTACGTTATATGAATTTATTGAAAGGTGCACCAAGATCCATAGCAAGAGAATGGATGAAAGAAACGAGAATTTTGTTGGAAACTCAACAGGCTATCGACACTTTGATGGCATACGCCGGTGTTACTGGTCTTATGTTTATCGGTCCTGCTACTGCTGCTAACTCGTCCAAGGTCAGTTCGTATACTTCAATCTGACGATGTCCTTGAAGCCCCCTCCCCACCTCCTGCCTGTATCTTCCAGAAATTTTCTCTTGTCAATTATACATTGTATCCTTTTTTTTTTTCATAAATGGATGTAATAACGTGACCTTAACAAGTATAATACGTTTTCCTCCTTTCGTGTAACTTTATGTGTAAAAGAATATCTTTTTTTTTTTTTATTTTTTTTTTATTTTAATACTAATAGACAAAAATCTGACAAAGATGAAACAAAAAAACATTCTGTTTAATTGAGTATTTTATTTTTAAGGTAATTTTTAACACGTTGAGCGCCACGTCAGCCATCGATGGCTGAAACTAGACTTTCCGTCATGGGTGACTGACACGTTCAACTATTTTTTCAATACAAAGTAACGCCTGTGGCCTGACGGGAATGTCACTAAGAATTCGCGTGGCGCTCAATGTGTTAACACACTATCGTCGGGAACGTCGTGAGCTTGACTCACGCGTGCAGCGGGCGAAAATGAGGGAAATATGAAAGCAGTGCACTTTTTAAAAAACATGTTATATCTTTACATCTAATAGTAGAATTTCAATGAAATTTGAAAAATAGGTATCAAATAGTATTTCGAAGATGTAGAAAACTTAAACTCAATGCTATCAAAATCAATCAATTGAATTTATGCTACTTTGTAAGCACGAAACTTGCAGTGTCAAAATAGCACATTTCATCAAATTATTAGTTTTTCCTAAAAATTAATAAATTTAAGACTAAACACTGGTGAGGCTTTACAAAAAAACAACCAAAAACATTATTTCTCGTAAAAAATTAGTGACAATGAAAAAAAAACAAACATTAGTAAGTATTTTACTGAAAACTAGCCTACGTTCTGCATAAAACGTATTAATATGCGACCCGCCGACCAGCGCCAATCTGTGGAACGGGTAGAAATACCCGACACGCCGATAGTGTGTTAATAGTACAATTTGTTTTTTATTTCCCCCCCCCATTCTTTTTTTTGTTTTTTCCTGTCTCGCGTTATATTATTTAAAATAACTTTAAAATTATTTTCTACGAAGAACAAAAAAATTTATTTTATACAAAAAATAAAGAATAATAGCGAATACGTTAGCACTGACATATTTTATATGTTAATTTACACCGGTGGTTAAATTCCCTTCGGGTTTGTAGCTTGATAAAATGTAAAAAAAAAAGAAAGAAAAAAAAATAGAAGAGATAGAGAAGAAGAGTTAATTACAACATAATCAGAAATTATTAGAGATGTAAATAACGACTCAGCAGACTCGTGTGTGTGTGTGTTTCGTGGTAAAGGGAAGAAGTAAAAGCACGAATTTTGTAGTAGAAAGTTATCCCCTCGTTAATTCGATTTTAAACGGGAATAATGGGGAACTACATTTACTTTAGAAAGAAAATGACCATGTATATAATATATGCGTATTTACGTACGTTTTAATAGTTGTTCTTCTAACAACTATTATATATCTCGTAGTAAATATTCGTGATATCTTTTCTTTAATTCTCCAAAATTTTCTTTTAACACGTTCCGTGCCACGTATACCACCGGTGGTACACGTTAAACTTATTCTTCAAGCCACGTGTACTACCGGTGGTACACTTACCATTAAAAATATTTATTTGGAGTATTATTTAGTTAAAAATATATGTTTATAACATATTTAATTCTGTAAAAAAAAATATTCCTATTAAAATATTGATGCATTATACAAAATGCAGTATAGTAGAATAAAGTACATAAGTTTGTCTAATTGTTATATTTACGATAATAAATAATTGCATGTAATAGTTGATTTTGTTAAAGCAAGATTAAATGGCCTGAATGACAAGTCAGGTAAAAAGGGCTTGGCACGGAACGTGTTAATTTTATTAACGTGTTAAATGTACGTTCCACATTTCCCCCCTCCTCCCCGCAATCCTTTTTAACCTTTATTTTCAGATTTATTATACGTTTTTCTATTGGATTCTTGTTTCTTATGAATGTTTCAGCAATCAACCGGACAAAAGTAAATATAACCGGATAAATGTCGGACATGATCGAGAAGGAAAAAAAAATAATAAAAGATTAAATAAACGAAATATAGCCAGATAAATAATAAAATAATGACAGTATGAATTTGTGCATGAATGGTATGTGCTTGAGGTATATATATACATATACATGTATGATAGAAAAAGAGAGAAAGAATGATAAAAGAAAAAAAGAACGAAAGAACAAATTATTATCGGCATTGAAAAAAAGTTTGTGTCTTGAACGAGATCAAATTAAAAATATTTATTTATTTCGTTCAAGGATTTAATATATATATTTAACAGAGCGAAAGTAAGTAATAAAAACTTGATTATGATAAGTTCATTTCCAGAAAGTCCTTTTTCTATAATTAATTCGCGATATTTATAATACGAGACGCAATTGTTCGTCTTACCTTAATACACAATACATAAAAAAATAAAACGCTTCGTTGATATAACGATAAATAAACTAAAATACATGTATATCGTTTACTCTATGTTACATCGAAGATAAGGCAAAAAAAGCGTCTTCGAATTATTTGTTAATCGAAATTTTTCTCCTTTTGATCGAATCAATATCGTACGGATTTTCTGAGAATTACGTATATTCTCGAGTATGATAACAACAACAAAATAAAAGATATGAAGGAATATACAATAGAAAGAAAAAAAAAACAAAGGAATAAAATATTATTCTTAAGGTATAATGCAAACTAAAAATTGTAATCACCGTAGAAGGATGATTACTACATGTTACTTTTTTTTTCTCTCACGGCTAGTCGAAATATCTCGATCGAAAGATGATGGTCAAGGTATATAAAATTAAACATTGTTATATACAATACAAATTTGTTGCAGTGTTGTTTATTCAATTTTCCTGTCATCAAACTTTCTATCCAAGATTCCTTTTCCTTTTTCATTTTTTTTTTTTTTTGAAGTGAAAACTTCTGTAAAATGAGTGTGATTTGAAAAAATGAAACGCGGTGATGTAGTAGGGAAAAGAAATGGACGATGTAATGGGGGAAAGAAACAGCCTTAATACTACGTAAGAAGAAAAGAGAGATAAATATATCATTATTTATAAATCATTATTATTTACAAAAGTATTTGATTTGTAAACATTTTTTAAAGTGTTTTATTATTTACTTTCTTTGTAATTATTATAAAAGTGCGCGCCTGTATGAATACAACTCTCCAGACAGACTCTGAAAATGTTGCTTGCGAGCGCCATCTGTCGGGACGGAATTGTTTTCTGCCCGAAAGATTGGCAACCCGTCATACATATGTGTATAAACAGTTTTGACTGCAAAAAATTCCGTCCCAATAGATGGCGCTCGCAAGCAACATTTTCAATGTGTGTCTAGAGGGTTGCATACAAACAGGCGTGCATTTTTATACTTAAATTAATAATTAAATAAATAATTACAAATTAAAAGTATAAATAATATTATAATAATATTATATAATAAATTATCTTCGAAACTTGTTTATTTGAAGGTTTAACTTCTAACTTGTGTGATATGCACACATGTTTTTTTTTTTACTTGACACTAATTTAGTAGAGTTAGTAACCGAAATGTTTCTCAAATCGAATAAAAAGTATTCTGAATTTTTGAGAGTTGATATAAAAGTAGTAAAAAAATGAAAGTTTATGATAAGTTTCAGTTATGTGATTTCAGATTTTAACATGGGGGTTAGGGTATCACATAGTTTGTTTTTCTCTTTGATTCTTACATGAAATTAGAAAGAAAAAAAAGAAAATATCAGTAAGAATTTGATAAATGTTTTTTATTCTATGTAAATGGATGACTTGGTCAACGTAAAAAATGTAAAAAAAGAAAAACTAAAAAGTAAAAGAAATTACTTTAAATCTTACAAGATTCATACGAGTTGTCTAGTTAGACTAAGGATTTGACATTTCTCGAAACTAAAGTAGTATAGCACTGTAAAAGACAGGAAAAAAGGAAGGGAAAGGGAAAGAGAGTTATTCTACGATCGGCTTAAAGGAACTTTGAGTGGTACTTTACTCGTCCTTCTTTCGTATCAAGGTAAAACTTTGGGAACCGATTGAAAAGAACATCGAAGATCGATTGACTAGTTCTGACAAATAAAGCCGACTTTGATTTTTTTTCACAGGAGATGTTATAAGAAACATAAGTAGACACGTATGTAATTTGACGTAAATTAAGATTTATATACAGAAGAGTTTTTTTTTCTAATAATAATAACAATAATAATAATAATCGTGATCGATGTGTATAMAATATTGTCTATTTCGATATATTTTTTTTTCTTTTATAAAAAAAAAAAAATAATATCAAAAGATATTATTACTTTTATACGACTATATTAGGATGAAACAAAAGTTTGTACATCTATTGTATTAAAACTTTACTTTAAAATTGTATAATGTAATTGTTTTGATAAAAATTTACTTTGAAAATATTAATTTTAATTATTTTATTATTATATGAAATATAAATTAATAATTAAAAATTAATAATTAAAATATTAATTTAACAATTTAAAAACTTACGAACGCATTTTAGTTAACCCTAATATATTATCAATATTTCTAATAACAATTTTTTTAGCGAATATTTAAACGAATGAAATTATTTTATATTAAATTTGTTTCGCATTTTATTTCAAAATTTAATAAATATATTTGTGTCGATGATATGCATATTGAAAATAGTATTGTTAGTTTATAGATAAAATCTTCTCTTTCTCTTTAGGATATAAGCATTTGAAAGTTAAAATGAAAACAACAGGATAAAAGGGGTTGTAAAGGGGAGGGGGAGGAGGTCGTGAACAATACGTTGCGTATAATGATTGTCGACGGACCGTCGAGCCACTGTCCTAATTTAAAATCAATTTGGTTGCCGCGTGTTTACGATAATGGCTTTGGGTCTGTAACGGCGTCACGCAGAATTCGATGTCGGCTTAATCCCATCCACCTACATATATATACATATATAGATATAGAGATATACAAGAACAACAACAATACATATACTTCACTTTATCGCTAATTGAAACAATTCCATCCCTACATTAATAAACGATATTCCTATTTTGATTTTCCGATCTATCCTTGTCGATGATTTATTTAACATTGGATATCACGTTTTGTTGTTTTTTAATTCCTTTATATCCTTCTCGTAACATATATATCATATTTTATAGATTTAATAATAATGATAAACAAATCATACTACATGTTATCAGTAATTTGACTTTAATTCGAATCAAATTTGTCAAATTTATATATGTTATTTTATTTTATTATTAATTTTTCATTTTCTACTATCGTTAGTGTTTAATTTAAAAGAAATTTTGTTATAAAATATTATTATTAATTTTTTGTTTTAGTTAGACAATTTTTATCTCGCGAATGTCATCCTTTAACGACTTATCATTCTAATAATTATATCTACTTTTACGAGCATTTTCATTTTTTTTTTAAACCCCAACAAAAAGGGGTACAATCCATCCTTATCGTACTTTCAAAACGAGTCCCTTTTCTTTATCCCTTATCACAGAACTTTGATGATCTTTTCGTTTATTACTTTTCTTCTTCTTTAGAAATGTTGGATTTGTTTTTTTTTTTTTTAATTTTCTTTTATATATTTTGTATAAAAATAAATAAATAAAATAATCACTATAATGTAAATAATTAATAGTTAAAAAGTTAATCGATTAAAAGTACGAAAAAAAGAAAACAAAAATACAGGAAAACAAAAGAAGGAAATGAAAAGGAAGAAGATAGGAATGGGTAAGGTAAAAAGTCTCCATGTAAACGAGCTATATATATATATGTCAGTTAAAATAAATGCTTACAAATTGTACGTTTGTTGTATAAAAGCAGGATGAATGAATCGTGATCGGAAAAGGCAATTAAACTTCGATCGTTTCTGTTAAATCGAAATGCTATATTAGAGTATACTATATATAGTATATCTATACGTTTTAGAACTGTAACAAGTTTGTTCAATTGGTTTCGATTCGCTACACAACCTTATCGGAATTTATCCATCGAATCTATCAACAATTCGTGTCTATTTTAAATGCTAACTTGTTGTTAACTTTTTATTTCTTTTTTTCTGAGATTTTTTTTCTTTCCCATTACTATCAAAGTTAATTTGTATGAAATTAATTCATTGAAAAACAAAAATAAATTTCTTCAATTTATAATAGAATAATAATTGTTTACAATATGAATATGTCTATTCGATTTGTAAGTCTTATATATTTGAAAGTATAGTCAATTATAATTCATTAAATTTATTAAATTCATAAAATCATGATTTATGATACGTCAAATATTGTAAATAAAATTGATGGATTGAAGAAAATATCCAATTGCATAGAAAACTTCGTAGTTTATTCATAACTATGAACGGTGATAAAACTGTGTCGAGGTGAGATAAAAGGAAATGACTCTCTTATAAAACTAACGTCACTCGAAAACATCATTGATCATTCGAATTTTTAATTATCATTAAATAATAATTATCCTTTTGAAATTGTGAAATGTTAAATATCTTTCGACTTCTTTCGTAATAAACGACGACAAAATCCGAACTTTGCAAAGAGTAACGAAAAGTATGAAAGACGATTACTTTTAATTTGATTATAAGTATGATAAATGAGTAAAATGAAATTAAGTAATACAAATAAAATATGAGGAATGTGAAAAATCTGTTTCTCTTTCATTTTTTCTTTTTTTAATTCAACGAAAAAATTATCAAGAGCATAAAAAAAAAAAAATAAAAATAAATTTAACAGGAATTTTCAAGTACTCCATTTATTGTGTTTTATTTTTATTTTTTATTCTATTGTTATTATCTATTTTTTGAAAAAACCAGTAGTAAGAAATTTCTTTGTAAATAAAAAAATTGAATATAGAAATTACATGGTATTTAAATAGTTTGCTAATTTAAATTAATTGTTCGTTCGAAGATATTAAACCTACTAGCAGAAATTCTTGTTGTCATCGTGTGCTCTTAACTATCTCGAATTCATATGTATTT